GCAGAGCAGGAGACAAGCTCTTGGAATTAAAAGCTAACTTCCACTACCAAATGTCAACGGATTGGTTGAAAAATAAACTTAAAAAACAGATCTCCCCAACAGTAGAACAAATGAGAGAGGAATAATAAAATGACTCTGCCTAGGCTAATTCCTGGCCTTATACTTGCCTTTTGCTTTTAAAAGGGTCAGCAGATCTGACTAACCGGACACTGCCTGCAGCCCCAGGCCTGCTGTTACAACTGGAGTTACTAATTTTCCTGTTTGTTTTACCTTACTCTGGCAATTGAAATTTACAATCATGTTTGGATTTTGAGTCATTCCCCCAGAAAGGGAATCACCGGACGACAACCTCAGGAGAGGAACCAGACCCTCCGAAGTCCCTCCTGGTGCCTGATGAGTCTCATCAGATAAAGAAAGTCGCAGGCTGATGACCCTCCAGACCACCGGACGGTCCCATGAAGTTGGACAGATTCGCCAACATTTAGGAGGAAGTGTCACCAGAGACACTTGTTGATTGATATCCCCTTTTACTCTCCAGTTTGCTCACTATATGATCACTAAGCCTCAACCCTAAGACGGGCTCACAGTTTTGAAGGTACTAGCCTGATGTGAGTCCTCTTTGCCCAGCAAAATAATAAAGCTGCCTCTTTTCTTCTAAGCTCCAAGACCTTGTCTCTGGGTTATTTGACTTGTCAGGGACGGGGGCTGATCTTTCGGCAACACAAAGGGCAAAAAGAAACGTAAAAGAAAAGATGAGAAAATGAGAGGCTTGACCCAAAAAGAACAATCTTAAGGAGGATTTTCAGAAATAGAGAAGGGAGAAATGAAATAATTTTATAAATATATTCTAGAGTACTACTCAGATTGAAAGTACTACTCAGATCGAAAGATCGAATATAAACATATTCTAGAGTACTACTCAGATTGAAAGGAGCTTCTAATTGGAAAAAGACCATGAATAATAAACGAAAAAGAACCACAGCAAGGCACGTGCACAGGTGATCCTAGAGAACCGTGGAGAAAAAGAGAACGCTTAACACTTAAAGTGCCGGAAGAAAAGACAACACATCTCCAAGACTGGCGAAATTAGAATGGCTCAGGGCTTCTCAACAGCTCTGGAAGCCACGATTCCAGTAAAGAATACCTTCAAAATTCGAACTGAAAATGATGTTTGACCTAAAATTCTCTATTCTGGCAATTAATCATGAGCGAGGATGGAATAGAAATGTTTCTGGACAGAAGAGTTCTCAAAAAATACCTCCCTTGCACATTCTGTCAGGAAGGCACAAGAGGGAAAAATGAACAAGAAAAGGGAAAAGTTAAGATCCAGGGACTGGGATTCCACTACAAGGTGCATTGAACCAATGTCCCTGATGATAGCTGGGTAGCAGGTCTAAAAGCCAAATAGCCCATTTTTAGTAGGAGGTTGGAGGATTCTAAGAGTGAGGTCTTCAAGGGGTAGACAAAAATGGTTGATGATTTTGGTCATGTAAGAAAGAGGCATGTGAGATTAAGATACATAGATCCTGGTTAGTGAAAAATTAGAAAAATATTGTTTGTATGAAGCACAAAAAATTGTCCAAAAAACCACAGTACCACTGACACAATGAGCACTATTTCAATGCTGAACTTTAATTTGACCAGATCTAATTTATAGCTGTATTAGGAAGAGGAGGAAGGTGGAAAAAGCTTAAACTATCAATTTCCTGTGAAGAGGCTAATACATAATGTCTAAAATAGATAAATCAAGAAACATTGGCGAATGCACATTATTTAAAAATATAGAGATGAAGATGATAAGAAGGAGCTAAAAGAGTTTCAAGTGGTTTCCCATAGAAAGCAGGGCTTGTGGTACAAGAAGGTAGGGAACAAAAGACTACTATTCTTTGTTTTGACTTTTAGTACAATTTGACTTTTGAAACAAAGTGCATTCATTGTCTGATAAGAAGTAAAGTAATTTAAAAATAATGACAACCCCAAACTGCTCAAATGTACATCAGAGGTTTAACTGTAAAATTTACAAAGTTGGTACAGAATCCAATTTAAAAAAACAGGAACTATAATATTTCCCTGTATAGTTTTGATTTGCATTTCTCTGATAATTAGTGATATTGAGCATTTTTCCATGTACCTATTGATCATTTGTATGTCTTGCTTGGAGAATTGCTTGTTTAGGTCTTCTGCTCATTTTTGGATGGGGTTGTTTGTTTTTTTCTTATTAAGGTGTGTGAGCTGCTTATATATTCTGGAGATCAAGCCTTTGTCGGTTTCATCTTTTGCAAAAATTTTCTCGCATTCCATAGTTTGTCGTTTTGTTTTGCTTATGGTTTCCTTTGCTGTGCAGAAGCCATGTATAGTAGTTAAATAAGGCTAGATACTTTGGCTTTTTTTTTTTTTTGCTTCTTTTTAAAAAACTTTATTTATTTGTTTTATTGAAGTATAGTTGGTTTCCAATGTTGTGTTAATTTCTAGTGTACAGCATAGTGTTTCAGTTATACACATATATATTTTTTCTCACATTTATTTTCCATTATAGACTCTTGTAAGATATTGAATATGTAGTTCCCTGAGCTCTACAGTAGGACCTTGTTGTTTATCTATTTTATATGTAGTAGTTAAGACTAAATATTTTGAAATGCCCTTCCAGCATAAAATACTCTGATGCTGGATAAATTACCCTAAATGTCCTTTTTTAAATTTAATTTTAATTTTTTAAAATTGAGGTATAGTCAGTTTGCAATGTTGTGTCAATTTCTGGTGTACAGTACAATGCTTCAGTCATACATAAATATACATATATTCATCTTCACTAAATGTCCTTTTAAAAAAAATTCCACTAATTTTTAGTGGGATAGATAATTAGATTTATTTATTTATTTTTAGAGGAGGTACTGGGGATCAAACCTAGGACCTCATGCATGCTAAGCAGGCTCTCTACCACTGAGCTATCCCTTCCCTTACCTCTAAGTGTCCTTTTAAATTCATTACTAAGCTCTCTTTACTACACTGTCTCCATTGTCAACCAGTGGGTTGTGCCACGTACAGTTCTGATTCAAATTCCATTGTATGGATTTTCCCCCCAACACCAGGCAATTCTCTATCGCTCAGTTCTGACACTATCTGCCTTGAGATAACTCTGGATTCCACAGGTAAAGAGTTCACTCCTACAAGCCTGCTCCACCTACCCCAGTTCAGACCTCAGTGTCAAGTCCAGGTTGTCACTTGTGTTTCTGACCCATAGGCTATCGGCTGGAGGTTCCCATGAACCCCTCTTTGGGTTTGATTAATTTGCTAGAGTGGCTCACAAGAGAAGCGTTTTACTTAGTAAATTACTGATTTATTATAAAAGGATATAACTCAGGAACATCTAGGTGGAAGAGATGTATGAGGAAAGGGTGGGAGCTTCCGTGCCCCCTCCAGGTGCGCCATTCTCCCCAAACCTCCATGTGTTCACCAACCTGGAAGCTCTCCAAACCCCTTTCTTTTGGGTTTTTATGGGGGCTTCATGACATAGGCATGATTGATTAAATCATTGGCCATTGGTGGTTAAACTCAGCCTCCAGCACTTTTCCCCTCTCAGAAGATGGAGGGTAGGAGGTGAAGCTGAAAGTTCCAACCCTCTAATCACATGGTTGTCTCCACTGTCAACCACCTCTGTCCTAGCTGGCTTCATACGTTGTACAGCTGGGAAATTATTTCCCCATGAATTTCTAGTATTTGCTTCGTTTTATGACTTTGGCTCAAGGTTTTGTACATAGCCCATCCTTCGCCCCTTCTTTGAACTCCCATTAACTGGTGGGTTGTTTGGCAGACTTGCTGCCCTCACTGGAGCATCCTGTTAGAACCAGTTCTCATATTAGAGATGTATTGACAGCCGTTCTTCTTTTAGGGAATTTCATATTTGATGGGAATCCTTACCATACATTTTGATCCAGAAAGTCAGAGAGACATGTTCATCAACCTCATGAGACTTTAAGTTCTAGAACAGCTGTTGACGAGTTCATTTGGTCTGCTACCTGTTTTTGTACAGCCTATGAGCTAAGAATGGTTTTTAAATATATGTTTAAATGATTGGAAAAAAAACCAAAAGAAGAGTAATGTTTCATGACACATTGAAAGTATTTGCCATTCAAATTTCAATGTCCATAAATAAAACTTTATTAGAACATAGTCAGGCTCTTTGGCTTATCTATAGTTTATGGTTGCTCTCTGCTGCAATGGCTGAGTTGAACAGTAGTTGAAGTAGAGAACTTAAAGAGCCTAAAATATTTACCATCTGAGCCTTTACGAAAAAGTTTGCCAACCTCTGATCTAGAAAAAAGGTCATTGGAATGAGGATCATTGCTATGGCTCTTTCTAGAGATGATGCTGATTCTCTGGGATGAATAGCTATCCTGAACAGTATCCAAATCTCCAGAAGAGTTTGAGATAAACTCATAGGTGAAACACCAGGAATGCGCCATCTAGCGGTGGAACTTTCAATCACAGGAGATTTTTCTAAAATTTTCCAGATTATTTGCTCAGGCAAAAATGGTGAGATTTAAAGATTCTGCCTAGTGAATATTTAATATTTAAATGCCATGTGGTATTGACTATTTTAAAAAAACTAGAGCAAAAGTCATTTAAAATATATTCCATAAATGTCTCCCTATGAATTAGACACAGAAAAAACCTCAAATAATGATTAGTCATGAATAAATGGATATGTCCACATCACCTTTTTTTATTTATTTGAAAACAGACACCCAACTTCCTATAAAAGGTAACTAAGAAAACAGGTAAGTAACTTATCTCTAAGAGTAGAAAGTGTTTTTATTATCTCCTTGATATTTAGAAGAAAGCAGTTTTGCATGCTCTTTCCCCAAATGATCCTTTTCTCAAAAATAACAGTTAGAAAGGAACCCTCTGTTCTATCTTGCCATTGGTCATTTTGGATGTCTTTTCTTCTATGGACTGAACCCTCGATGAAAGAACTTTGCCACGTTGATCTATCTCTTCAACCACCGTCTTTACCAGTGTGGTTCTGGATAACTCTAGAAATAAAACATATGTGAACACATGACACATGGCATGTCTAAAAGATTACACAACAGAGAATTCCACTGCTGGTTGTAATATAGTATATTATGTACATTTTGGTGAGGAAGTTAAGGATAGGTTTACAATAATAATTTGCGATAGTTTTATCCACTCAAAAGAATACTTTACGTTCAGAGCACTTTAGTTAAAATTACTAAAAGTGTAGTGTATGATTGCCATTAATATAAAAGTATTTGCTGCATTAGAGAGAGATCTAGATTTTATTACCTTTAGATGAATTTCCTGAGCTTCCTGATCCAAAGCCCTTTGATTTGGAGCATGAGCTGTTAGAAATATTACAAAATAAATGAGGGCTTTTTGTTTATCACTTCATAAATATTCAGTGAATTGACAGATGAATGTTTTATACCCAAAACAGATTTCCACTTTCCACAGAGAAAAATATTAAAATTTTTGTGTTGGAGTTGAAAGTAATTAGATATGTTCAAAAGAAAGGATATTAAAAGAACTTGTTTCCATTTGATTTTTTTAAACCCAAGAACTTAAAACTTCAGGAAAAAATATATTTTATGTATCGATCCGAGGGGTTTGTACAGAGTATGCTTATTTCAGGGACAGCAGTGACATTAGAAATGAACTGAAAGATGGGGAAAGCCTGGGGGGTGGGGTGGGGAGAATCATAAAACCTACAATGAGTAACACGGACAAGAAATGGGGGCTTCTGCAGGGATGCCTGGGGCCGCCCAAGGCAGATGAAGAAGAGGCTGTGATGTATGAAATTCAGAAGAGATGACAGCAGAGCAATAGGTGGCTGTGCTCTTCTGCAGTGAGAATGAAAAAGGAGGGCTTGGAGGCATCGAAGGGGAATGACAGTATACAATTGTGCCTCAAAATAGGTAAAAACTGTATTTTCAGAGGATGTTATTTACTTTCCGTCTCCATCGATCAGGCGGCAGTAGGTCTCAATTTCTTTTTCCAAGTGGGCCTTGATGTCAAGGAGCTGCTCGTACTCCAGTTTCTGGCCCTCGGTCTCAGTTCTGACCTGGTGCAGCTGCTCCTCCAAGGCTCCGATCTGCGCCTGGATCTGGGCCAGCTGCGCACAGTAGTTGCCCTCGGTCTCGGTCAAGGAGCACTCCAGGGAGTGTTTCTGAGGACATGTAAGATGTCAAAGGAAGCGAGGAAGGACTTTGAGGGCTCTGTACACTAGTGTGTTTCTCAGCAAATGGCAGACTTGCTCCCTCGGTGAGTTTCGGAAATTTGAGGGTTTATAACTATTAAACAGGAGATGGACAGAAAGGGGAAGTGACTGGGACTTACTGGGTGTGGGGGGCAGACCGACTGGCTGACCTGGCATGAGATACATGACCCTTTTCCCACAGGACTTGTGACTGTTCTAATGGACATTCATGGAATTTAACTAATATTTCATATTATGGCCAACCGACATACAAGAACACCTTTTGGCAGGTAGCACCAGAAGAAATCAATATTGGAAATCTTATATTTTGAAATTACATACTTATTTTTAAGTTGCCTTTTGTTTCTGCAATCTTATTCTGCTATTGTCCCCAGAGAGCTACCTCACCAGAGTTCCAAGGCCTTTTGTGTTGCTGTTTCCTTCTCTTTTTCCCCTTTAATTGAAGTGTAGTCAGTTTCCAATGTTGTGTCAATTTCTGGTGTACAGCATAGTGTTTCAGTCACACATATACAAACATGTATTTGTTTTCATATGCTTTTTCATTATAGGTTACTAGAAGATATTGAATAGGGTTCCCTGTGCTATACAGAAGAAACTTGTTGTTTATCTATTTTATATATAGTGGTTAGTATCTGCAAATCTTGAACTCCCAATTTATCCCTTCCCACTCGCTTGCTTTTTTTTTTTTTTTTTTTTTTTTACTCGTTCGTTCGGTTTCGTTTTCATCAGTCTA